TACTTAAGCAATATTCACAAGGTGGGTGGTCGTGACTGGTTAGATCCTGTTGATTGTAGAATCAAACTATAGTATTGAAAGCTGAAGAGCTAATCTCTTCATCTCTAGGCTTATGGTTATGGGCGTGGTCTTATATAGAACTGTGTTTTGCTAGATCACTAGAATCCCTTATGATCTATAGGTGGTGGCTCACCGTGGCTTACCGTGATCTATGTCCTTTGGCTTATGGGTGGTCCTTTATCTTATCTCTACGTGATGTTCTTTTCGTATCATATGCCTGCCGCGGGGTTCCTGGCGGCGGCCTGTTTTCTGGCCGTGACATTTAGCTTCTTCTATAACACCTACTATAGTAACTAAACCCTAAGGGCCTAGATAACCTTTAGAAGAAGGCAAATAGCTTAATCTATAGCATAATCTAATCTTTAGCCTCTAAGGTTTTTATAGGCTATATAAGGCATTTAGAAGCTATTCTTAGCTTTCTAATTGCTTTGCTAATCTAAGAAAAAGGCTTAGGAATCTCTTCATAGTAGTAACTTAGTTAGCTTTTTATATATAGTCATATAAGCTACTATATAGGCCTAGTTATAAGCTATCCTCTCTATAAACCTAATTTCCCCCCTCTCTTGGACCTCTAAGTATATAAGCTAAACTATCTAATAAGCCTTTTAATAGATTACTCTGCAATGCTTTTAAGACCTAGATTAGACCCTAAACTAGCTATAGTTCTAGGCCTAAAAGGAAAATTGCAGCTATCTTAGTCGCCGCTAGCTTAATATACTCTTAATAGCTAAAGGGCTTATATTTATAGACCTAGAAGTAACTAAGGCTCTTTATTCTAGGCTACTACTGCCTATAAGACCCTAGGAAACCTCTTATAGCTACTGCGCTGCAGAGACTACTTTAGGCTATAAGAACCTCTATAAAAAAGCTAAAAGAAAATAGATTGCCTGCTATAACTAAATCACCTATACCTTTATGGAAAACACTCTCTTACTAAGCTAAATTAAAAGTTAAGCTAAAGCCTTCTCTACCTAAGGAGACAACTAGCTTATAAGCTAATTTTGCTATTACTCTTAGCAATATACGCTATTATTATAACCTTATGTTAATATTTGCCTATTTTTATAAGGCTATAGCACGATGCGCAACGCCGCCATCGTCATGCGAAACCAGGAGGGCCAGGGCCCTATGTCACGGCCAGAAGTTCGACCACCCCACGGTAAGCGGCTGACGGCCTGACAAGGCAGAAATAAGGGTCACGTGTAGATAGAAGATAAGGATCACTCTACCAAGGTAATAATCCAAGGGATCACTATACAGGTATAATGATCCAGCCATAGATCACTGTTTGGATCACTAAGGGATTATGATGATCCAGTATACCATAGTTCTATATAAGACTATGCTTATAACTATAAACCTAGAGATAAGAAGACTAGCTCTTTAGCTTTTAATACTATAGTTTGATTTTATAATCAATAAAACCTAACTAGTTATAATCATCTACCTTTGTAAATATTGCTTAAATATTCTTTAACTTATCTTAGAATATAAACCTAAGGACTCTTAGTTATCTATATAACAATCCTTCCTATCAGTACGTCGATAGGTAACTAAGGGTCCTTAGGTTTAT